CCTCCCTCTTCCCTCCTCCCTCCTCCCTCATCTCTCCTCCCGCCCTCCTCGTCCTCCCTCCTCCCTCCTCCTCCTCCTCCTCCCTCCTCAGGGTGCCCCCAGCTGCTTTCCGCTCCACTTCTGGAGCCCCCGGGGGCCTGTTCTGGGCCCTGCGAGGGGTGCCCTGGAAGCCGCACGGAGGCCACCCCGAGAACCCTGGGGGCACCCTGGGCCAGGGGCACGACCAGCCACGCCCGAGGGGAGAGGACCACGCTCGGGGGAGACGCGGTGACTCGGGCACGGGGGAGACGCAGCTGGCGCGGGGGAGACGCAGTGACTCGGGGAGACGCAGACGGCGTGCCTCCGGGCCCGCCCCTTCAAGGCCGCGCGCGAGGAGGGCCCGCGGGGCGCTCCACCCGCCCGTGCAGCCCCCAGTCCCGCTGTCGGGCGCTGCCAGAGGTGCCCCCCTGGCCCAGGCTGCCCCCCCAGCCTTTCGCTCCACGTCGAAGCCCCTGGGGCCCTCTGGGCCTCGTGAGGGGTGCTCTCGAGGCCGTCTGGGCCACCCCGAGAATCCTGGGGGGCACCTTGGGCCAGGGGCTCTCCCAGCAGCACCCGACTCCTGGAGGCCCCTGCCGGCCCCCGTCCCGCCCCCTCGCCTGCCCCCTCCCTCCGGGGAGACGTAAGACCCGGTACGGGGGACTCGGGTTGGCCCGACGGGGCCATCGCGAAACTGACGAGCCCCGAACCGAAACCTGACGCGAGCTCCCGCGGCAGGCATCCCACGGAAACAGGGCCGTCAAAGTCCAGGACGCGCTCGTCAGAAAACGCCGGCAGACCGAACACCGGCTTACTCGAGTCCTGCGCTTCCCCGACGCACAGGACATGAGCATACAGTCAAATCGCACACAGTAGGAGCTCGACCACAACAACCCTTCCACAAGAGACCCAACCCTGAGGCCCCAGGACGTCCACCGATTCTTGGTGCGGGAACGTCACGCTGTCCATAGCAAAACCATCAAGACCCAAGAAACCCAGGGCACCCTGGATGCATCGTGGGGGGTAGAGGTAGGGTTCGCATGTGGCCCCCTATACTCCCGCCAAACCCTTCTTCACAACGCGAGGGGGCATGCAGGGCCGAGCCACCGGCAGCTCCCCCGCCCAGCCCGCATCCGCCCAACGTCCGTCCGCGCACCGCTCTCCCGGGGCCCCTCCCGAACCGCTCTCCAGGCGCCTCCGGCCGTGGCAACGGGGGGCACGGCGCCACGGATGCAAGCAGGGTGCCCTGGCATGGGCTTCCACTGAAATGCGGATGCGCGCCGAGGGTGCAAGGGCCTTGGAAGGCCCGATGTTGGGGGTATTTCTTTCTTTTCGTCGAAAATTCCACTGTAGGGGGACACGCCCGACATAAGGGTAACCTTGGAAACCCGCTCATCCTTACTGCGCGGGTTGACTGCACGTGGCCCGCTCTTGAAAGCATACAATGTTTTGATTCGCGGGTCGAGAGCGCACCTCTTCCGGTCGAAGCTAAGCGGGCCGCGCGAAGCTTGGGTTGAACCTTTGAGGGGGAAGGAAAGGGGGAGGGCGCAGCCTCATAGCGGATCTCTGCAAAGCGTACGGGCCAACCAAACCGTGCCGACACCCCTCGCGCGAGGGCCACGACGGGGGGGAGCCGGCTCACGGGGGGAATATATCGGCCTGGAACCGGCAAGCACCAGTCTTCTGTCGGGCCTGTCCCCCTACAAGGGGATTTTCGACGAGAATTGAAAAATACCAAATACCCCCACAAATACCCCAAAGACGTCGAGAAATAGTCACCAGACTATGTTTGGACTATTTTGAGGGCACTTTTTACTTTTCGTCGACAACCCCCCTGGGGACAGGCCCGACTTAACACCAGTCCTAGGCCCCCGACGTCGTGATTCTTTCACAGCGTCGACCCCCAGAAGTCTCGATCGCTTCCCCGGCACCGGTTTCTCATCCGGAGTCCTTTTTTGACGGTCCCGAGGCCCGGTAGGGGGCCCCCCGAGGCCGAAGATGATGAGAAACATCCCTAGGGGGCCACACGCGAACCCTCCCCCTCAGAAATCGTGGGGGTAGGGGCAGGGTTCGCATGTGGCCCCCTATACTCCCGCCGTGACTCCTCTTCACGACGCGAGGGGGCCTGCAGGGCCGAGCCACCGGCAGCTCCCCCGCCCGGCCCGCATCCGCCCAACGTCCGTCCGCGCACCGCTCTCCCGGGGCCCCTCCCGAGCCGCTCTCCAGGCGCCTCCGGCCGTGGCGACGGGGGGCACGGCGCCTCGACCGGCGGGGCGCCAAGGTGGCGTTGGGGCGGGCTGCAGGGGGTGGGAGGAACCCCGCTCTGGACAACTTCCGAGCCCAGACCCCCTCGCGTTGCGAGAAATCACGCCGGGAGGTTCGTCGCTATTCTCGACCCCCGGGGGCCCTTGCCGGGCCTCGGGACCGTCGCAAAACGACTCAGGATAAAAAACCAGTCCCCGGGAAGGCGTCCAGGGGTCGACGTTGCGAAAGAATCACGACGTCGGGGGTTTGCGGCAGGGTTGGGCGGAAAACCGCTCCTAAATAGCCTCCAGAAGGAGGAAAACTGCGAGCAGCCAACTGGGCTCGCTCACGAAGCCCACCTTGGCACAAACCCCCTCCGCGAAGCCTCAAGGCTCGACCGCCCCACTCCTCCGATCCGACGCCCGGGGCGCCGGCAACGCCCGCGGCAGCATCGCCTCCTCGTGACGGCCAACCCTCGGTGAGGGAGGAGGAGGAGGAGGAGGAGGAGGAGGAGGAGGAGGAGGAGGACGAGGCGGAGGAGGAGGAGGAGGAGGAGGAGGAGGAGGAGGAGGAGCGAGCCGCCTCGCCAGGCTCCAGCTCGAAGTTGCAGCAGCCGTAGACGGCGTGCCTCCGGCCGCCCGCCCCCCAGGGCCACGCGTGCGGAGGGCCAGCGGGGCGCTCCATCCACCCATTCAGCCCCAACGCCCTCCTCTCCCCTCGCCTGCCCCCTCCCCTCCCCCTCCCTCGCCGCGCCCCAGCCCCCTCCTTCCTCCCCCCTGCGCGGAGCTCTTCGGTCGGCGCCGCCCCCCCCCCCCTCCCCGGAGCGCGCCAAGGGCGGAGCCGCAGGCGCCGCCAGGGGGCCCAGCGCCGATCCGAGAACATCCGCGCGCAGCTGCGACATGTTTCTACGCTTCTGCCACTACTTGATCCCCGACTCCCAACCCTCGCTCTCCGATGTCCCTCCGTCCATCCCCTCCCCCCCCCATCCTCCTCCAACTCCTCCTCCTCCTCCTCCTCCTCCTCCTCCTCCTCCTCCTCCTCCTCCTCCCCTCCTCCTCCTCCTCCTCCTCCGCCGCTTCCTCCTCCTCCTCCTCCTCCTCCTCCTCCTCCTCCTCCTCCTCCTCCTCCCCCTCCCTCGCCTTGCCGCCGCCGAGGCCCTGCCCAGCGACGCGCGGCCGCCAGCCCGGGCCTGCGTATTCTCATCCGCAGCTTCAGGCTGCCAGAGCCCACGTCGACGTCCTCTCGCCAGCTGCGCGCGCCCAGGGGGGGGCCTTCATATCATCAGGCCCGAAGTCATCGTGCTACCATTAAGGATACAGTCGACTCGGATCGTAAGGATGCAAGACAAGGATGCAAGGGCCCTGGACGCCGTGTCGAAGCTTTTCGAACGGGGTGCGGCCAGCGAATGTGGCCAAGGATGGGCCGAGGAGGCAAGGATGCAAGGGCACCCTTGGGAAAGTCGCTCATCCTTACTGTGCGGGTCGACTGTACCGTTGAGGAGAGCACAGCCTACCCCCAGGACTCTCAATTAATTCCCAGCCTGGTGATCCAGGGGGGGGGCCCGGCTGGAGGGTGAGGGTGGTGTTTTGCCTCCCAGAGCCCCTCAAAGAGACACCCCGCTCCTCGCCAGGGCCCCCTGGGTCACCAGGTCGGGAGTGGGGGTCCCCTGGCTGGGGGAGGTGCCGTCCTCGGCCGCGAGGGCCGCAGAGAGCAGGGACCGCGTGGGCTGTGCTGGCCACGGCGAGCCTCGGCCACTAGTAGGATCCCCGACCCAGATCTTGAACGTCTCGAAACAAAGAGCCCCTTCTGAAACCAGAGTAGACATTATCTCAGCGCGTTTTGCCCGTATCCTGATCCCTAATCCCCTGTGGCCGCGAAACCCAACCGAGGCCGAAGTGGGCGGGTCTGTCAAAGCCGATCCCAATGGAGATGGGGATAGAACTTGGACAAACAAACAAACAAAGACCGATACCGATACCGATAATCTGCGGACCTCTCCCAGGGCGCGTTCTGACAAAGGTTTCGAGGCGAATACAGCCCTGGCGACGAGGGCCCCCCGGAAGGCTCCTTCTCCTACTCCTTCTCCTCCTGCTGCTCCTCCTCCTCCTTCTCCTGCTGCTCCTCCTCCTGCTCCTACTCTGCCTCTTCCTCCTCCGTCTCCACATCCTCCTCCTCCCCAGCGTTCCCCCCTGCAGCTCCTGAACCTTGACGGTGAACGTGAAAGTGTCGCAGAATCGCCAGGGGCAGTCGCTGAGCAGCCCCTGCAGGCGAGATCAGTTCCCTCTTCCCCTCCTCCTCCTCCTCCATCTCCTCCTCCTCCTCCTCCTCCTCCTCCTCCTCCTCGCCTTCTTCCTCTGAGTAGTCTTAGTATTGTTTTTCGTAGTCTTATTAGTCTTACTGTTCTTGCGTATAACAGCATTATTAGTTATATGTTTAGTCCTCTTGCGAAACATATTAGCATTCGCATCCGTATGATTAATTCGGTGTGCTCTTAAGAATACTGATCGTAGTACTGTGATGATAAATAGTATTCTGATTAGTAGCCATCTAATTATTACTCATATTATGTGTCTTAGTCGTATTGTTATTCTTATTCGCATTCGTATTCGAATTCTTCCCTGGACCCCGCGGAAGAGGGCGGCTTTGTCACGCATCCCGGGAGAAGCCCATGCGAGGCCCCGCATTCCCAGACGACCCTGCGCCGGCAGCGAAGGAAACACCCCCCCGTGGGTCGTCCAACCGCACCGGCCCCGACTCTGACGCGCCCCGAGCACCAGGAGGAACGCCGTGGCTCCACGAGCCCGCGCTGTATGGCTGCCCGTGCACGAAGAGCCCAGCATGCTCCAAGGCCTTGTGCACGCGCCCCCGCGCGCTCCACAACCTCCACTTCTCTTCGGGAGCGGCCGAGAGGGGGGTGTCCAAGATCTCGAAGGGGGGGGTGCAAATCATGACCGGCGGCATGCGCGCGGCCCAGCGGGGATGCCAGGGACGTCATGAAACAAGAAGAGGCGCCATGAAATCTGGGGAAATATCATGGCCCCCGCCATGATATCCACCCCCCCCCCTAGTCATCACCCCCCTCTTTTCCGCCCCCGAGGATTGGCATGTCCACACGTCCAAGCCCCAGCGGCCTGGACTCCTCCGAGACGCGGTCCAACCCAAACATGATCGCGTCGAAAGGAAATCAGGACAGGAGGCTTCGGACAGGACACCCCCTCTTTTCCGCCCCCGATCTCTAATTAGCAAGCCGTGCAAGGCTTGGATGACGCAGGGGAACCTCAGCGCCTTCTCCGCCTCCACGGCCGCCGAGGCGGGCCCACGCAGCGTCCGGCCGCGGACGCACAGCGAGGGGCGAGACGCGCACGCGCGCCCTCTGGCCGCCCAGCCCCGCAGCAGAGCTGCAGCCCGCCGATGCTCCGCCCAACGGACCGGACGCCGGGCGCCACCCAGCACCTGGCCATCGCTCGGACGTCCATTCCCTGTGATTTTTTTCCGGTGTCGTGCGTGGCGTTGTCGCCAAATGATCAAGGATGCTCCTCGATGGTCCCCGCCGAAGGAAAAGTGCCACACGTCCGAGCGACGCCAGGCACCGGCAGGGAAGCCTGGCGCTTCTCTGACACATCGTTGACTTGCCTGCCGGTCGGTCTGGGGCTTACAGGGCCCTGGAAACGACAGGGCCGTTTTTTAACGGTTCCGTTTTGCCGTTTTTGTTGCCGGTTCCGACGCCGTTTTTGTTACCGGTTCCGTCGCCGTTAATTTTTTGCCCGGTTCCGGCTCCGGTTCCAATCCTGGAGCCGTTTTCTTGCCGTTTCTGGTCGCCGTTTGTTTGCCGCTTCCATTTTCAAGGGGCATGTTTTTGGGGAAACGGTGAAAAAAACGGCCCTGCCGATTCCGGGGCCCACAAAGGTCTGCACCCTATCCGATGGAGTTGGAGTGAGTGGCGATCAAAAAAAACGCGAGATAGCGCAGCGACCTTACGAGGTTGTTTACGCGGGCCGCCCGTGAGGCGCGCTATACTGGAGACGAGGGCGCGTACGTGTGATCTTACGCGTGAAAAAACGGCCCTGCCGATTCCAGGGCCCACAAAGGTCGGGGGGCCGCAGCATGTTACCCACAGAGGCCCTGCACAGGCGCCTCCACATCCATGGCGCCCTCGGCTGGCGCCAGCAGCTCTCGTCGTGTCTCCGCCTCGGGAGCCCGAAGTGTGTCCGCCCACGTAAGGCGTTGTCCCAGCCGCCGCGCTGCCTCATCGATCCAGCGCACATTGAAGGCAGCGCACGGCGTTGCCAGCTTCCTCACAACTCGGGAACCCGAAGTGCTCCGCCCACGTAAGGTTTTGCCCCATGCGCCGGGCTTCCTCACCGATCCGGCGCACATCGAAGGCCGCGCACGGCGTGGCCAGCTTCCCTACAACTGCGTTCTCAGGGTTCACGTTCAGCTGCCTCGCACCTGATCATCGTCATCATCATCATCATCATCATCATCATCATCATCATCATCATCATCATCATCATGATCATGATCATGATCATCATCATCATCATCATCATCATCATCATCATCATCATCATCATCATCATCATCATCATCATCATCATCATCATCATCATCATCATCATCATCATCATCATCATCATCATCATCATCATCATCATCATCATCATCATCATCATCCATCATCATCATCATCATCATCATCATCATCATCATCATCATCATCATCGTCAGCAACAACATCAGCATAATCCTCATCATCATCGTCAGCAACAACATCAGCATAATCCTCATCATCGGCACCGTCACCATCATCAGCAACAAGAGAACATAATCATTGTTGGCATCGGTAGCATGTCATTTTTTCAAAGCTACACAGTAATGGTAGCAATGCGAACAGTAGTCATACTAGTCATCATGATCATACGAATAATGATAATAATCAGAATAATTGCTCACAGGAGTATTCATCACACGAATCATAAGGTTACTATAAGCATCATCGTCGCCGTCAGCATCGCCATCATCATCATCAGCATCATCATCATCATCATGAACATAAGCAGCATCATCATCATCATCATCATCATCATCATCATAATCATCATCGTCATCGTCATCATTATCATCAGCGGCAGCATCATAATCGTAATCCGTATTAGCATAATCGTCATCAGCAGCAGCGGCATCAGCAACATCCATCATCAGAAATCATCAGCAACAAACTCATTATCGTCTGCATCATCAAAAGGACTAGCATCAGCATTACAATTGCCACGATAACCATCACCATCATCAGAAGAAGAAGCAGCAACATCATCATCAGCATCATCAGCATAATCAGCATCCTTATCATCAGCATCATCATCGCCATAGCCATCATAGACGTCAGCAGTATCCTCATCATCAGCATCGTCATCGTCATCATCGTCATCATCACCATACCATCATCATCATCGTCAGCATCATCGCTATCATCAGCAACATCATCATCATTATCATCATCGTCATTATTAACACCATCATCGTCAACATCATCAGCATCATCGCCAGCAGGTCGCCATCACCATGGTCAGAATCAGCAGCAACATCATTAACATCATCAGTATCATCATCCTGCCCCCTCTTACTTCGACACAAATGACCACATCCCCAAACCTCACCTTCAACACACATGGGTAATTATGCATCCGCCTCTCCCCTCCCCTCCGCCTCCCCTGGCTCTCACTCCTGCTCTTCACCACATGCTGCCGCCTCCTGTCTCTCGCCCTCCCCCTCCTCGCCAGCCCTCTCCGGTGCAGATCCGCTCCCCATGCCTCCCCGTCGCCGCCGCCAGGAGCTGCGCTCGGCCACGCGCACCCACGCCGGTGCCCGCCGCCGCCGCTGCCACCGGGAGCCTCCCGCCTCGGGTCCGAGCAGATGGGGCCAGAGTGAAGGGGCCCTGGGACACACAAATAGATACACGCAACTCAAAGAATCCCCCATACTTTCCCAGATGGTCTGGCTTTTTTTGTCTTCCCCCCCACTCCCCATATCTTCCCATATTCTTTCCTGGGGATCGACGATGAATTGTGTCTGTGTGTTCCTTTCCCTCCTGGGCCAGAGGATCGTGACGCCTCGCCGATGCCGGCGGCGTCGGCGATACACCGGCGCCGCCGGTGGAGAAAGGCGGGCGCCGCATCGCCGCATCGCCGAGGCAGCGGCGAGGCGGCGCCCAAGAAGACCCCCTCCGCGCGGGCACCGCCCAGAAGGCCCGGAGGGCCGTGGGCCTCCCCCTGTTTGGGCGCCCGAGTGATCCGGGGTACGTAACTCGGGTCTGGGGTAACTCGGGCTTGGATTCCCGAAAAAGGGACCCGAGTTAGCCCTGACCCGAGTTGCCCCTGATGATTTGGGGCCCTGGACGCCCGAACTGCCCGGGGCAACTCGGGTCCGGGGTAGCTCGGGTTCGGAATCCCGAAAAAACGAACCCGAGTTAGCCCTGACCCGAGTTACCCCTGATGATTCGGGGCTCTGACCTGTCGCCCCCCCCCCCGGTCATAAAGCAGAGGGCACGGAGACGGTGCGCGTGAGGAACGTGCAACAGCGCTCGGCCTCAGTGGGCTCTGGAAACGACAAGGCCGTTTTTTTTGTCCGGTTCCGTCTTGCCGTTTTTGTTGCCGGTTCCGACGCCGTTTTTGTTACCTCTTCCGTCGCCGTTTTTTGACCGGTTCCGGCTCCGGTTCCAATCCTGGAGCCGTTTTTTTGCCGTTTCCGCTCGCCGTTTTTTTGCCGTTTTCATTTTCAAGGGACATGTTTTTGGAAACGGTGAAAAAGCGGCCCTGCCATTTCCGGGGCCCACACAGCCCTGCACCCTATCCGATGGAGCTGAGCGAGTGGCGATCAAAAACAGGTCTCACGCGAGATAGCGCAGCGACCTCACGAGGTTGCTTACGCGGGCCGCCCGTGCGGCGCGCTTTCCTGGAGACGGGGGCGCGCACGCGTGATCTTACGCGGGCAGCTTGCGCGCCAATGTCGGCGCAGCCGACACCGTTTTCTTGCGCCGCTCAAGTGCAAACAACCGCGGCGGTCACTCCGTGCCCGTCACGGCTTCATGATCGGTGGCCCGGTGGCGAGAATCATGATGCTAAAGATGCCCGTGCGGCGAGCGCCTCTGGCGAGTCCTCGAAGTACTCGCCGTACTCGGAGGTCTGCCAGGCAGCGGGGGCAGATGAGCATCGTTGAACCGAACCCTATCCCCACCGGCTTGGCCTGGGCCCCACTGGGCGATTCACCACCATGTCGCTTGCAATCGAGACCTAATGATGCGGCAACGGCGCAACCAAGGATCCAACAATTGCGTGCGGCACCATGCTAGCTCGATCAGGTAATACTGCCCATGCAGTGCCTCCACGACTGGGGAGCATCCTTTGCTATGCCTGGTCTTAGCACAAGTTTCCTTGAGGCCCTGTTGCTGCAACAATGTCAGGATATCGACCAAATGCGCGCTGACGCAAAACCTATTTCTCTGGTGCCCCCGACGACGCCCGTTCCCGGCCCCCCTCTCCTCCTCCTTCTCCTCCTCCCCCTCCTCCTCCTCCTCCCCCTCCTCCTCCTCCTCCTACTCCTCCTCCTCCTCCTCCGTTTCATCATCATCAACCTCCTCATCCTCCTCCTCCTCCTCCTCCTCCTCCTCCTCCTCCTACTCATCATCATCATCATCAGCATCATCAGCATCATCGTCGTCGTCATCAGCATCACCATCATCATCATCATCATCATCATCATCATCATCATCATCATCATCATCGTCGTCATCATCATCATCATCATCATCATCATCATCATCATCATCATCATCATCGTCATCGTCATCATCATAACTGTCATCAGCATCATCGTCACCATCATCAGCATCATCACCATCATCATCATCATCAGCAGCAGCATCAGCATCAGCATCATCATCAGCAGCAGCAGCATAATCATCATCATCATCAACATGATGATCATCATCATCATCAGCATCATCATCATCATCGTCATCGTCATCGTCATCGTCATCATCATCATCATCATCATCACCATCACCATCACGATCACCATCACCATCACCATCATCTTCATCATCAGCATCATCATTATTAGCATTATCATCATCAACATCATCGTCGTCATCATCATCAATCGTCGTCGTCATCATCATCGTCATCATCATCATCATCGTCATCATCATCATCATCATCATCGTCATCGTCGTCGTCATCATCAGCATCATCATCCTCATCACCATCATCATCATCATCAACGTCGTCGTCGTCGGCATCATCATCATCATCATAATCACCATCACCATCAGCATAACCATCACAATCACCATCATCATCATTATCAGCATCATCGTCATGATCATCGTCGTCGTCGTTATCAGCATCACCATCATCAGCATCATCATCTTCATTGTCATCATCACCATCGTCGTCGTCGTCATCATCATCGTCGTCGTCATAGTCATCATCATCAGCAGCATCGTCATCATCATCGTCGTCGCCATCATCACCACCATCATCACCATCACCATCACCATCACCACGACCATTACCACCACCATCATCATCATCACCAGCATCATCACCATCATCATCATCATCATTATCAGCATCATCATCATCAACATCATCATCGTCGGCGTCATCATCATCATCATCATCGTCATCAGCATCCGCATCATCACCATCATCATCATCAACATCGTCATCATCATCATCGTCGTCGTCATCATCATCATCGTCGTCGTCGTCATCGCCATCATCATCGTCATCAGCATGGTCATCAGCATCGTCATCATCATCATCAGTATCAGCATCATCATCGTCGTCGTCATCATCAGCATCATCACCATCACCATCACCATGACCATCACCATCATCATCATCATCATCAGCATCATCAGCATCATCATCATTATCATTATCATTATCAGCATCATCATCGTTGTCGTCGTCGTCATCAGCATCACCATCACCATCATCATCATCGTCATCATCATCATCGTGGTCGTCGTCATCATCATCATCATTGTCGTCGTCGTCATCGTCATCATCAACATCAGCATCGTCATCATCATCAGCATCATTATCATCGCCGTCATCATCACCGTCGTCGTCGTCGTCATCATCATCAGCATCAGCATCAGCATCAGCATCAGCATCAGCATCTGCATCAGCATCATCAGCAGCATCATCATCGTCATCATCATCATCATCATCATCATCATCATCATCATCATCATCACCATCATCATCATCATCATCATCATCATCATCATCATCATCATCACCATCACCATCACCATCACCATCACCATCCCTGGCGCTTCGGCCCGTCCCGCCGGGGTCCCGGAAGGCCGCGTAAACCACCTCAGCGTTCACAAAAAATCCTCCAAGACGGCTCAAGATGGCCTCCAAGATGGCCACGTTGGCCCAAGATGGCCTCTAAGATGGTCTAAGATGGCCTCCAAGTCCGCCTAATATGGTCCAAGACGGCCTACAAGACGGCCTAAGAGAGTCCAAGATACCTCCTAATCAGTGATGTTCCTTCGGTTCTTGAAGGATTTGGGCATTTGTTCCTTTTCGGCTTTCCGACGACCCAAGACGGCCCAAGAGGCCCCTAAGATCGCCCCCACAGCGCCCAAGAGGCCTCCAAGATGGCCTCAGGACTGGCCCATAAAGACACCCGAAACGGCTTCCGACGGCGTCAGACGGGCCAGGAGCCCACCAAGATGGCCGAAGGTGGCTCGCATCTGGCCCAAGACGGCCCAAGAGGCTCCCAAGAAGGCCTCCAGGAAGGGCCGAAAATGCCCAAATCATTGATGTTCAATTAGTAATTAGTGTTTGAAGGATTGTGGCATTTGCTTGTTTTCGGCCTTCCGACGGCCCGAGACGGCCCAAGTGCTCCCAAAGATCGCCCAAGAGGCCCCCAAGACGGCCTCAGAGGCCCCCAAGACGGCCCAAGAGGCCCCCACGCTCAAGATGGCCTCCAAGACGGCCCAATAGCCCTCCAAGACGTCCTCCAAGAAGGCCCGAAATTGTCAAAATGGCCTCCACACGGCCAAGATGACCTTCAAGAAGCCCGCGTGTTCCCCGAAGGCTTTCCAAACCGATTCGGGGAACACATGGTCCGATAGCTTGGCAGGTCTGGCCTCAACGTTCGGCCACATAGGCGCTTCCAAAAAGGAAGGGGGCGGCGGTGATTCGCCGTAGGCGTCTTCGATACGCCGCCACCTGCTGATTCATCACAGGGATCCTCCTTTCACCTCCCTCTCTCATTATCCTCCTCTTCCTCCCCCATTTGTTCCCCGAAGGTCTTTAACAGAGGGGTATCCTAAAAGACAGGGGGCGGCGGTGATTCGCCGTGGGCGTCTTCGATCCGCCGCCACCTGTGGTATCGCCACAGGGGTCCACGGCGTGCTAGACGGCTGGTTGTTGTTGGTTGGTGCCTGAAGAACTCCGTCTGGATCTTCGGCCCAACGCGCTGGCCACCTGGAAAGCTCATCCAAACCCGGTGAGCAGGGATGTTTCCGCTCCAGATGGCTCCGAGATGGCCCAAGATGACCGTCAAGATGCCTCCAAGACGACCAAGATGTCCCCAGGAGAACACAAAAAGGCCGCAAGATGCACCCAAAGACGGCCTGAAATGCACCCAAGACAGCCAAAGATGGCTTCAAGATGGCTCAAGACGGCCCAAGAGGCCCCGAAGAGGCCTCCAAGACGGCCCGGGAGGCCTCCAAGAGGTATGTCATAAAGGCGCGAAGGGGCAAAAATCATCAGTCCCTTCGGTTGTTCTGGGCATTTGGCATTCGCTTCTTCTCGGCCTTCCGACGGCCCAAGACGGCCCAAGCCCAAGACAGCCCAAGAGGTCCCCAAGACAACCCCAAGAACGCCCAAGAGGCCTCCAAGATGACCCCAGGACGGCCCAAAGGGCTCCCAAGACGGCTCCCACAAGGCTCCAAGACGGCCCAAGAGGCCTCCAAGACACCACGGATGGCCGCCAAGACGACCCTGAAGCGCCCGACCATGTGTGGCCAACCATTCCCCATAGGCAGGGGGCGCGATGATTCGCCGTAGGCGTCTTCGACCAGTTCCCGTGGGGACCTGTAAAGAGGGAACTTGCAGGGAGGGTCTCTTGCAACACCGTTGATGCGTCTTGGGCTGACACTGGTCATCCTCCTCCCGGCTGCGTGTCGTCCTCCCCCGTCATGCCGTACATCCGGCGATGCTTTCTGCGGAGCCACTTGTTGCGCACGGCAGCGCAGCCCAGGCGCCGACGACGACAACGACAATGACGACGACGACGACCACCACGACGACGACCACGACGACGACGACGACGACCACGAACACGACGACGACGACGATGACGATGACCACCACGACGACGACGACGACGACGACGATAACGACGACAACGACGGGGACGGCGGCCACTGGCGGGGTGCCTTCCGCCTGCCCTCCCCCTCGGGGATCGAGTGACCCGGGTCAATTCAGACCCCGGTCGGTCGGGCTCTGTGGCAGCCAGCAAGCTCCTGCAGGAGCCTGCCGGATCCTGCGCAAAAGCCTGGGCCACTGCGCCCCTCGCCCTGCAGGGTCCTGCAAGATCCAGCGCTCGGACTGACCCCTGTTTGCATTGACCCCTCCCCCCCCTCTGCGTTGGGCGCGAATGAATGGGGGGCAACATACGTTGGGGGTGAGATGAGTACCCTTCTGGGGCCCTCCAGGCCCCCTCTGGGGCCCTAAAGGGCCCCTTTTCCGCAGCCCTCGCTGCTCCCCAGCTGTCGTCGCCCCCCATTACACGTCGGTCGGAGGAAATAGGTTAACAAATGAAGTCGGACGGCGGATAAAGCAGATTCGGTTCAGGCCTCCCCAAAGAATAACAAAACGAAGCATGAGCACATCGACCCTTGAAGCAGGAAGGCGTTCAGAGTAGATTGGGGTCTGGGGATCCAGAGATACCTACTTCGCCGACCGGCGCGCAGTTCGCGCCACCCCCCCCCGCGGCCGCAGCCTTCTCGACCCCGGCGAGCTTGGCCCGCACGAAGGGCTGCTGCCGCGCCGCAATGCGCGGTTCCCCTGGCGCGCCACGGACGGGCGCGCGGGTGGCGGCAGCGGGCGTGGTGCGGGGAGCACCTCTTGTTTGTAATCCTCCGTCCTCCTCCTCCCCCTCCTCCTCCTCCTCCTCCTTCTCTGTCCCCCTCCTCTCCTCCTCTCCTCTCCTCTCCTCCTCCGTCCTCCTACTTCTCCTCCTCCGCCTCCTCCTCCTCCGTCCTCCTCCTCCTCCTCCTCCTCCTCCTCCTCCTCCTCCTCCTCCTCCTCCTCCTCCTCCTCCTCCTCCTGGCTGCCGAGCACACGCCTCCCCTCCCTTGCGGCATGGCACGGGATCGGCGCAGGAACGGCATCGCGGAGAGGAGGGAGAAGGAGGAAAAGGAGGGAGGAGGACTGTCGTGGACTGTCATCGGCTGCATCCTGGGGCCGTCCGTGAAAGGACCCGGACGGATGACGCTCCTGCTCGCCGACCGTGACCAGCCCAGCGGAGGGGAGCGTGGCGACGGTGGGCCTTGCGCACAAAGCCAACACGTAGCTGATAACACTGGTTTCAACTACCACCACAACGAGTGGCGACGAGGGTGCCAATGCCCGCCCCTCTCGATCGACAAGCCGACCGCGACCCCCCGACCGAGTCCACGCACAGACACCCGGGCCGTCCCCGAGCCAGACGATACTCGGTCGTAGCTGGAAACGTTTCCGCCTGCTGCTGCTGCCCTCTCGCACGAGCTGCTCCTCGCAATGCTGGCCCTGCCAGTGCGGCTGGTGGCATCGGGCTCTGACCTCGCCTGCCGCTTCTCGCAGAATGGTGTCGGAGCCGCGTGCCTCTTGCCTTCCTCACACGCGCCCTGATGCCAGCGCTGTAACTGATAACGTCGGGCTTGTGCTTCGCCTTCCACCTCTCGTTGAGTAGCGCCAGAGCCTGCTGCCAGTGCCCGCCGCTCTCGCACGCCCAGATCACAGCTCTGTAGCGATCGACATTTTGCTATGACTTCGCCTCCCGCTTCTCGCAGAATGGTGTGTGAGCCGCGTGCCGCTCGCCTTTCGCACACGCACTGGCCCCAACGCTGCAGCTGATGGCGTCGGACTCCGACTTCGCCGTCCCCTTTGTGGTTGACCAGCGGCCGAGCCTCCTGATGGTGCTCCTCTCGCGCAATAGGACTAGAGTCGGCGGCCACTGCGCGCCTCTCCCACACGCACTGCTCCCAGCGCCGGCACCGCACGCCGTGGCCTTTGTAGCTGGGAACGCCTGGCTCCAGCGTCACCTCCGACGGCCTCCGCTTGCTGCCACTGCGCGCTCGTACCACACTCTTCCACCCTGGTCCCTGCCCCCAGGCTGGGGTCGTGGGGCGGGCCTGGCTCTCATTCGCCTCCCCGCCTCTCCCGCAAGCCGTGACCCGAGTGTAGCTGCTGGAGCTGGCCTCCACTTCACTCCGCAGCTGGCCACTGCTGTCCTCCGCGCTTCCCCTGGATCCCTGCGCTGTGGCGGCTAAGATCGGGCTCCTGGCTCGCCTTCCGCACCTCGCGGAGTTGCGGCAGAGAGGCCTGCATCTTGCACGGGTGCCGCTCCACTTCGCCTCTCGCTTCGATCGCAGCGCTGTGGCCGTCGTCGCCGCCGTGTGCATCCCGACCCACAGGGCCAGGTCCCCCGTTGGGGAGGGGTGGGCACGGAGCCTCCCGCGGTGCCTCGCCACATCCAGCACCTGGTCCCAGCACTGTAGCTGATGACGCTGGGTCCCCGCGCGGGGCGCAGATCGTCACCTCCCAATGCTCCCCTTCGAGGCACGGGAAGGTGTCGCACCTGGGCCCCATGGAGCCTGCACGATGCAGGGGTGAGGGTGGCGGGGCGCGAGGAGGCAGCGGGGGGAAGGGAGGGGGGGCGGCCATCGCAGGGCTCTCGATGGCTCGCGGGGGCATTGCCACTCCGAAGTTTGCCCCTGGCTGCACGGGCCCCCCCTGTCCCGAGCGGAATGGCTAGGGAGGAGGAGGAGGAGGAGGAGGAGGAGGAGGAGGAGGAGGAGGAGGAGGAGGGGAGGA